AAAAAAAAAAAAAAAAAAAAAAAAAAAAAAAAAAAAAGACTGTGCTTTAGAAAGTGGCGAGAATGATGGGCTGTGTGGGTTCAAAATGAAGAGGGATATTTTTATTTTTCATTAATATATTTAGTACAGGGTCTCACTACACAGTGGCTCAGACTCAGTGAACCTCCTGTTTTCAGTCTCACCAGTGCTTTGATTACAGACAAGCACTATCACGCCCAGTTGCTGGCTCAGCACCTCTCAGGGGAGGGGCCAGCAACAGTATGTAGGACCAGGGATCGAACCCTGGTCCCTGTGCTTGGCAAAGCAAGCACTTAGTCTGCTGAGTTATCTTGCCAGCCCTGAGGGGGAGTATTTTGAGGAGGATAAATAGTAATGTGTCTTCTACTCCAATAAATTTTTAATTTTTGTTTTTAGGGACAGGGTCTCACTATATAGTTTAGGCTAGTTGTAAACTCATTATGTAGCCCAGGCTGGCCTCAAGCTTGTGGCAGTTGTCTTGCCTCAGCCTCCTGAGTTTTGTGATTACAGATGTGCACCACCATGCCCAGCAAATTTTTAAAATTTAAACGTTCACTATATGTTTTGATTATATGATGTATCAGTCACTTTCAGACATTATTTGATCCTCACTACAGTCCTGTGAAACTGATAGCCAGTACCCCAGTTTTATGGATAGCTTTTCTCACCTGTAATCAGAATAGCTGCTGTTTGCTTGAAGATAAAAGTGCAGGGGGCTGTCCCATATGTCAAGAAGGCCCCAAGGGTGAGTAATTTCTGCCACTTAATAAGTCTTATAAGAGATACTTCGTGTTTGATGTTTTTTTCTGCTTTATTACAGGAGATGGGATAGGAAGGCGTTCTGTTTTTCAATTCCTTCCGCTTTTGCCGGTTCATTTCAGGCTTTGCGCTTTTGAAAGAAATCTGCCCTGCTTTCCATTCCACCCCCTTTACCACCACCCCCAAGCCAGAGTCCTCTTTCCATTTCCAGCTAAACCTCTTCCTGTTCTTGAGAATTGCATCACATTCTTGGCTTAATGTAGCTCAACACCCCCACCATGGCACTGGGGAGCATATAGGCTTTATTGGTTGAATGTTCTGTCTTGTGAATACAGAATAAGTCACTTACTTCCTGACCTCTAGCCCTGACTTGAGGAAAAAATAGACATATTCCTCAGATTTTTGTTTGTTTCTAAATCGCCTTCACTGCAGCCCTGTTCAGGAATAAACAAGATATATCAAGTCTGGACATTGTGCAGGGCATTTAGGATACAGGGTATACTGCTCACCTTGCTGAATGAACCGTCTCCTTTGCTGTTTCCGATTCTTCACTCCTAGTTTGTTTTTTAAGCTCATCAGGCACTGGCTCCCACTGTGTTGAAAGGCCTTTCACTAAGGACATTAATGCCAGCCAATCCTGTATTACTAAATTCAGTGGATTCATCAGTCTATATCTTACTGGTCCCTGAACTATGCTACTGACCGCATCAAGCTCCCTATATTCCTTTAGTTTCCATGAGCTACTATTTTTTTCTACCTCAGCTGTGAGTCCTCACTAACCTTTGCAAACTTTTCTGTATACCTAGAGAGTGTCCATGTTGCCTCTGCTCCCTGACGTTCTCTGTGAGAGATCTCTTCCTTTTCCATGGCATTGTGAATGACATCTCTATGTCAGTGACAGCCAAGTCTGCGCCATCTCTGAACTCCAGGTTCATCTATTCAGCTACATCCTGGAACTTCTCCAACTAGGAATTCCTAAAACCGTATTAACTAACTAATTTCTTCAAACCTATTTCTCTGATAAATATATCCAAGAATATGCTGGAACACAGTTCACCCAGCTGCAATGGTCAGAAATCTAAGATTTGCCCACGATTACTCTTGCTCACTCTCCACGCCCAATCAATTACTGAGCTATTAACATCTCTCTCTCTCTCTCTCTCTCTCTCTCTCTCTCTCTTTTTTTTTTTTTTTTTTTTTTTTTTTTTTTTTTTAGCAGAACCAGGGATTGAACTTAGGCCCTTGCACTTGCCAGGCAAGTGCTTATTGTACTAAACTATTCCCCCGGCTCCCTATTAACATCTCTTGAATCTCTCAATTCCCTATTTTCACTGTCCCCAAGTAGCCTAAATGACCACCATTTATGTGGGGTTTTATACTTTATTTTACTAGCCTCCTGCTCACTATTTTTCTCCCTTTGGGTCATTTCCTACCAACAAACAGGATATTCTTTATGTATTTGTCTATTTTTATTTATCTATTTATTTATGCGGAACCAGGGATTGAACTCAGGACCCTGCGCTTGCCAGGCAGCGCTTATTCTACTGAGTTATCTCCCTGACCCCAGGATAGTCTTCATTTAAATGCAGTTCTGATGTATTTATCCCTGCTTTGAAAACCTTTTAGTTGCTTGCTAAAACCCTTAGGTCAAAGTCCAAACTTTTTATCATGGCTCATAAGCCCCTCATGACCAGCAACTTGCCAGCAGTTTGTACACACACATACTAGGCTCTAGTGGTTTAGTATACTGTTTCCTCCTGTTTCTAGGCTTTCACAAATGTTGTTTGCTTTACCTGGAGTATTCTACTACAGCGCCTCAAAGGTATTCGGACTGATTTCTACCTCAGATTGCTATCTTGTCCCTGAAATAATGGAACCTACATACTAAATTTTTAACTAACTCTTGAATTAAAACCATAACTTACATGAAAATGTATTTGATCTATTTAACTGGGGATAGGCTTTTACCATGACTAAATGTAAACCAGGACATACTTTTTAAATTGTACTGGAATGTCTTCTTGATTGTTATTCATCGTGATATTTTGTCTTTGGAATCTTTCTTCATTTCCATCTGGCTTCTCTCACTCTTTTACTTTTCAACTTGTACCCTCTGGTTGCCCGACACTTGCCCCTAGATAGCTCCAGCTTGCATGCTGTCGTAGCTGCTCTGAGGTTGTGGTTAATTAGAACTGCTCAGACTGCAACAGGAAGGCATTAAATCGAAAGCAAGGGGGAGGAAGTACAAACCAATACCCACCACAGAGCTGCTGAGTGCCCAGCATGACCCACACTGCACCTCTGATGGGGAGCAGGGTAGAGAAGTAGGAAGCCATGGGCTTCGTACATGGTCAGGACAGCCCAATCATGTGCTTCCCGTGATCCAGACTTGCACGGTCACCTCGCACACTGTTGGCCAGCAGCCTAAGTGGTGGGTGCTAACCAGAAAGCCACTGAAAATGTAGAGGCTGGGGGAAGGTTCCCAAAGTGAAAGAAATGTACCTTCACTCCCAATGTAGCCCCACTCTGAACATGCAAAAATGGAGTGTTTCTCAGGGGTTTCCTGTCTGTGATAACTCTGGGATGAAGGCTCCTAGGTTCCTCAAAACTACCTTTGCTCTCTGCCTGAAAATCAATTTTTAGTAGTGGCCAAAACTTTCAGTTTATAACCCAACAACACATTTTCATTGACTTTACTCTTTTTGCCATGACCTGTATGCATACCTGTGAGATGTTTTGTTTTGTTTTGTTTTGTTTTGTTTTGTTTTGTTTTGTTTTTTGACACAGGATCTTCTAAATTGCTAAGTTGCCCAAAGTAGACCTAAATTTACAATCCTCCTATCTCAGCCTCCCAGAGCACTGGGTATATAGGCATGTGCCATCATGCCCAGCGTGTTTTCCTTTTTTTTTTTTTTTTTTAATCCAAAGAGATACTGATTCCTCACAGTTGAATTATAGGATGTGAAATTAAAAGTGCAGGAAAATATGGAGTCTAGATTTTAAAAACATAGAAAGTTGAGAATTTCTCATTACAGAGCCTCACAGGGGCTGTACAACTCACCTCCCCACATTGACTACCTCAGAACCTGAGGGGATGAGAACGGGGTGCTACTCTATGCCCAGGGAGTTAGAAACAGCCTTCTCATGCTGGAGAAAAGGGTGCTTTGCTTGGCTGGAAGTGAGCACTTGTGTTATCACAGAGTGCCAACCTCACACTTGAGATAACAGAGCAGGAAATACTGTTGGTGCAGCTGGGAGGGGAGGGAGAACTTGCTATGTACCAAGCCCATGAAGTTCTCACCTCTTTGTGTCATACTTTCTGCCCGGAAAGTGACCAGCGCTGGCTCCGGGCAATGTTGCAAAATGGGTGCAGCCTGCCTGAAGCCCACCCTCTTCCATGGAGCATTCTCTCCAGGCAGTCGTGGTCGGGCAGCTCCTGTGCTCTCCTCAGCCCAGCTCTCCCCAGGTCTAGATCATGAGTGAAGCTTCCATGGAGAAATTGTAGAAATTGCAATAAGGGGAGGGAACAATTCTGCAGTAGAGAGGATCCTCTTCTCGCAGGCGTCTCTTCACAGATGGTAAACATACCTTTCCCCCATAAGCAGTGAATTGGAAAGGGTCTAATAAATGAGAAAGAATGGAATTTATGGGCAGCTCGCTTTGACTTAAAACCTCTCTTCCTAGGGCTGGCGAGATGGCTCAGTGGTCTAAAGCACCTACTTGGAACAAGCTTGACAAAGCACAGGGACCGCGGTTCGATCCCCCAGCACCACATGCCAGCCAGCCCCGCCCCCTGGTGGGCTGAGCTGGCCACACACACACACACACACACACACACACACACTAAATAAATAAATAAATGTTTAAAAAAAAAATTTAAAACCTCTCTTCCTTTCTCCACATCTCCCTGCCAGCATCCCTGTTTTGCTTCCTCCCTGGCTGTCTCCCTCTCCTTCTCTTCCTACATGTTTCCCATTCAGAGAGGACAGGAGGAGGAATGGGCAGCACAGGGAAATGTGCACGAGTCTTAAGGCTGGATGCCCGCCAGAGTGCCTGTTTCTTCAGTGGTCAAGGACGTTCAAGCTGTGTAATAATTATGCATGATCCAAACTCCAGGCATTGCATGACTGCACTCCCCGGGTGTGCTCTTTCACCTTGTGACCCGAGTACAATACATTCTTTTAACAAGGAAAATTAACAATATCACTGTGGAGAAAAACAGAGTGTAAGCTACTCTTTGAAAAGTCTTAATTATGAAACAGGGAGAGGTTGGCTAGTGAGCATGTGCCCATAGCATAGATTTCATTTTAAAGCAAGATTTGAGCTCTGTAAATGTTGATTCACTTAAAGAGAGACAACACAGTGAGAGATCTTAAGTTACCTCATTCCTGAGCTTTCATATCCTCATCTGGAGATAGAGAAGTTTTTATGCAGATTAAAATTAAGTTAAAAGCATATACATAGTAGTAACTTGTATGCTGAAAAAGCTTTTACACATTTCTGTTAAAATTGTTACTATTATTATCTAGTGACTGTACAGATGAGTAAGCTGTAGTCACAGCTGCTCTGTCTCTTCGACCCTAGGGGCCGGGGCTACCAGAGACAGGCCTGAGTGGGAGGGGCTAAGACACATAAGGAAGCGCTTAATAGTGGCATGACTTATATCTTGACACGCTTTGAACTTTCAGGGGATGGTAATGATTGTGTGTGTGTCATTTGATACATTAATTTACCACTGTATTATTTAGTTTACCCTGTATTTTAATTTTTTAAATTTTGTTTAAAAAACACAGACTCGTATCAGATCCAAAGTGTCTCAAAAAACAAATTTAGGGAACATTATTAGAAATTAGAGGGGCCAGGGAGATAGCTCAGCGACATAAGCGCCTGCCTGGCAAGTGCAAGGTCCTGAGTTCTGTTCCTAGTACATAAAAAAAAAAAAAAAAAGAAAAGAAAAGAGAACTAAAACAAAAGAAATTAAAAGTTAGCCCACTGAAAATTATGCATCTTGAGCCGAAAGGGGCTGTACAAATAAAATCATGCATATGAACTTCTGCTTAGATGAAGGAACACTTTTGTAGAAAGTTGCCTCATGTAAATCCACAAGTTTATAGAAAAGGTTAATCTCTTGTCTTTTCTGGCTCTTTGCCAAATTGCTGTATCATTTCGCTTGCATATAAATTTGGCAATAGCACTCATAACTCATTCTTATGATAGGCTGCAGAGCCTGCATACTCTTACTACATGGGTCCTGCGAGCTGCATGCAGCATTACACACCCAGTGAGAGTGAAGCTTTCTCCTCCCAACACTGGCTTTGCAGCCTTGACTTGAACCACCCCACCTGCTCTGTTCCTACCCAGTCACAGCAGAGACATCGCACCACTCCTCTCCTGTTTCTCCTTTTCTCACTCGGTTTTTCAATTTTGAGATGATCTGTGCTTTAGGGCTGGGTCCATCTCTTTGCCTATTCTTCAGTTCCGTTCTCCATCCCTTCTTCCATCTTCCTCTTTCCCTGCCCCTACTGTTTCCAACTTTCATTACTTGCAATCACGTGGGGCAATATTATATCATGCTCCTTCAGGCTGTACAGGAACACTTTTTTTTGAGGGCAATGAACAAAAAAAAAAAAAAAATTTTTTTTTGAAAGAATAACAAGAATGGGGGCCAGGGAGATGGCTCAGTGGAATAAGCGCATCCCTGGCAAGAGCAAGGGCCTGAGTTCAATCCCCCGGTTCCGCAAAAAAATAAAATAAAAAATAACAAGAAGCTGTTTTTCTTAAAAACATCTGTATTGGGGCTGGAGAGTTGGCTCAGTAGAATAAGTGCTTCCCTGGCAAGCACAAGTGCCTGAGTTCAATCCCCAGTTCCGAGAAAAAAACAAAAAACATCTGTATTAAGGTATAATTTATAAAGTTCACATGTTAATTCTATAACTCACTTTTAACATGTTTAGAGTTGTTCATCACAATTCATATTCAAACATTTTCTTCATCCCCAAAAGAAACTTTGTTAGCAGTCAGTCATCATTTCTGCCCCTCTTCTGCCCCTTGCTGCCCTGAGTCCTAAGCAACCACTACTCTTATTTTCTATTTCTGTGGATTTGCCTATACTGTGCATTTGATAGAAGTGGCACTATAAAATATGTTGTATTGGGGCTGGGGAGATGGCTCAGTAGGATAAGCGCTTGACTGGCAAACAAGGATCTGAGTTCAATCCCCGGTTCCGCAAAAATAAATAAATAAAAATTAAAAAAAATATATATATATATGTTGTATTTTGTGACTTTCATCTAATATATATATAGTTACTGTTTGTTTTCAAGACTTTCTATTCTTTTTTATCATTTATTTCTTTATTTGGTACAGGGTCTCACTACACAGCTCAGACTTGTAGTGATCCTCCTGTCTCAGCCTCTTCAGCACTGGGATTACAGGTGTGCACCACCATGTCTGGTTTTGGTGGCTGGCACCATACCCCCAGGGTTCCGGGCTGCCATGACATGTGGTACTAGGGATCAAACCTGGTCCTTGTGCTTGCTGGGCAGGTGCTTAGGCCACAGAGCTATCTCCCAGACCCATTGTTTGGGTTTATTTGGTCTCTTTGAAGGATTTTTTTTTTGGGGGGGGGGGCTGGCTCAGGATGCCTCAATGGCAGGTCTGGGAAGGCATGAGGTTCCAGGGTTTGAACCACAGTATCCTGAGCCTGACTGCGTTTGCATAAACGGGCACTTAAACAACTGAGCTAGGGGCCTGGGAGATGGCTCAATAGAATAAGCACTTCCCTGGCAAGCACAAGGGTCTGAGTTCAATCCCTGGTTCCACCAAAAAAAAAAAAAAAAAAAAAAAAAAAACTGAGCTAACCTGCAGGCTCCCTATTTGGTCTTTTTGAGACAGGTTTTCAGTATGCATTTCAGGCTGGCCTTGATCTCACTTTATAACCCCAGCTGGCCTCGAACTCAAAGCAGTCCTCCTGCCTCAGCCTCCCGAGTGCTGGGATTCCAAGTGTGCACCACCGTGCCTGGCCTTGTCATGTTTTTGAGATTCATAGATATTATAGCATCTATCCATACACCATTCCTTTTTATTCCATTTTCTGGACTTATCAGATTTTGTTCATCCATTCATCAGTTGATAGATGTCTGGGTTTTGTCTATTATAAATGAAACTTCTGTAAATATTTGTGTGGACATGTGCTCCTTGCTCTTGCATAGGTGCATAGGATTGGATTCTCTTGTTTGTGTGGTACCTCTGTTGTTAGCATTTAGAGGGACAGACAAAGTTTCCCACAGTGGATGCTCCATTTTACTTTCCCGCCAAAATCATATGACATATCCAGTTTCTCCACATTTTTAAGAATTATTAATTTCTTTGTTTTTTATGACAGCTGTCCTAGTGGGTAAAAAATGGCATCTCAGTACATTTACTTAATGACCTTCCAGGTGCTTATTAACCATTTGTATAACTTATGAACAGACATAGATGTAGCTGTAGTAATCTCTTGCTCATTTCATTTGTTTGTTTTGTGACATTGGGGATCGAATCCAGTGCCGCAAGCACGCTCAAGCAAGGTATTTGCCACTGCACTAGAGCTCTATGCCAGTTGCCATTTTTAACCAGGATTATTTGCATTTTTCTTACTGAATTTCTTTTTATATTCTAGATGGAGGTCCTTTGTCAGACACTTAATTTTCAATTATTTTCTTCTGTGAGTCATCCCTTCCCTTACTTGATGTTCTTTAAAACAAAAGTTTGGTTTTTTTTTAATTTTAGTGAATCTTCTGTTTTTCTTTCATCACTTACTCTTTCAGTATTGTATCTAAGAAATCACTGTCAACCTCAAGATCACAGAAGTTACCACCTAATCCAAAACTACAAAGACTTAATTCTTCTAAGAATTTAATAGGTTTAGCTCCTACTTTAAGTCTATGATATACTTATAGTGAATTATTTTTTGTACAATGAGCAAGCCCAAATTCATTCTTTTGTATAAATTTGTATTGTGTGTGTGTGTGTGTGTGTGTGTGTGTGTGTGTGTGTTTTAGGGAAGGGTCTACAGGGTGTTCAGGGTCCACTACCAGATCAGACTGGGAGTGATCCACCTGTTTACAGCCTCCCAAGTGCTGGGATTACAGGCGCACTCCCAGTCTCAATTGTCTCCGCCCGCCCCGGGGCAGGGCAGCACAAGTTTACAAGCACTTTAATCCACTGAGCTATTTGGCTGGCCCTTATTTTGTATATATTTGTATGTATTTCCACCACCACCACCCCCCAGCATCAAATTGTCTTGGATTCTTTGTCAGAAAAACCACTTACCTATAACTGTTAAGAGTTTATGATTCTCAGACCTGTTCTGTCGATCTATGTCTGTGTCAGCATCGCACTGTCTTGACTATTGTAGTTCTGTAGTAAGTTCTGAGCCCACAGAGTTTGAGTCGACCAAGTTTGTTCTTTTTCAAGGTTTTTTTTTTTTTTTTGGCTATTCTGAGTCCTTTGCATTTCCATGTGAATTTCAGAATCAGCAGAAAATAATAGGTGGATCCGAAATTCATTAGAATGCCCCTACTTCTAATAAACAATTGAAATATTTTGTCTCATACATAGGTTAAAATTGGATAAGGAGTATCAGACAGGTACACTTTGTAATTGAGGTGGAATGGGTCCTTTGAAAAGAGGACCACACTAGTGAAAGATGGGAAGGATGGGAATAAAGAAGCCGAAAAGCTTGGTAAACTTTCCACTCTGGTAAGAAGAATGTTTGTTTGGAGGAGGAGGCAGCTGAATGTAGCACTGGGGGATATTGTGAAAGATAATTGAAATTGCAAAGTCCATTGATCGCGCTGAAGGGGGTGGGGAAAGATCTCTAAGCAGTATTGTCAGTTTGTTGATTCTTACAGAATATCCTCATTCAATCATAGGAAACAGCTGGCTGGCCCTTTCTCAGGGCTGTAAGGCAAGGAAAAGAGTGGAGAAAGAGAAAACATTCCTT